GAGACCAGGTTGAGTCTGCAAGTGACGGAGTTTGCTGGAAGACTCTTGACCCTCTTGAGTGTGAAGAGAAGGAACTCCGCAGGATCGAGGGTCAGTTGCTGGATTCTGCAAGTCCTGTGATTCTGAGAAGTCTGTCAGTTGCTGAAGACCTTGGGTCGGACGGACATGTTGATGGGTTGAAGGGTGAACCGAAAGATGTTGTTGGACCGGATGACGACGATCCTCCACCTCTCCAATCCAAGATTGTGGGGCAAGACCAGGTCAGACGAGACGCAGAGTGCACAAGCCGACTGGTCGTCGGAAAGCCAGAGTGGTGGGGTGTGGCAATTCTGCACTGGTGGGGATGAAGTGCAGCGCGCTGATCTCTATGCCTCTGCTGCGGGAGCCCGAGGCTCTTAGGATGGTGATCAGACGGATCACTCTGGAAAGTGACTGGTGTGTTGGCACAGTCGATGTGCGAACGGCATTTTTGCAAGCGCCACTACTTGAGAGTCGTCGCAATGGAAAGAGCCTGGTCACGATAGTCAAGGTGCCAACCATACTGCGAGATACCGGGATAACCCAGTGTCGCTACTGGCGTGTCAAGAAGGCTTTGTACGGGCTGGCCTCAGCTCCAAAGTCCTGGAGCAACCACAGAGACCGGGTGCTTACGGACATGAAGATTCCTTGTGGGAGTGGTCATCTGAGGCTGGTGAAGATGCCAGAAGACACCAATCTATGGCAGGTGGTTGAGTATCCTGGGAATGGTGTGTCTCCGGATGTCCAAGATCAGGGAGGGACTGTTGTTGGGCGAAAGGTTGGGGTGATGGCTTTGTATGTGGATGATATCCTGGTGGGAGCTCCAAGAATTATTGCAGAAGCCCTCATAGCTGGTTTGCAGAAGCAGTGGGAACTGTCAGCTCCAGAGTGGCTGAGTGAACCGGGTGACTACCTCAAGTATGCAGGATTTGAGCTTGAGAAGACCTCGCAAGGAATACGCCTGCGTCAGGAGAGTTACATCAAGGACTTGCTGGAGCAGCAGGCAAGTGAGGTACCTGGTGAAGAATCGACACCTGCTGTAAAGGTCTATGTCTGTGAAGAACCTGCTACCGAGAGCGAGCGACAGATGCTGATCAAACGTGCTCAGGCTTTAATTGGACAGTTGCTGTGGCTTTCAGGTCGAACCAGACCGGACCTTGCCTATGGAGTGAGCATGGCAGCTCAGAAGATAGCGTCAAATCCTGCAGAGGCTGTTGCTAAGGCTGAGCATTTGGTGAGGTACCTCAGGTCGTCTCAGGGCATGAGTCTTCACTATAAGACGGTTGTTGGAGGATGTGGCCGTTGGAATCAGCTCCGCCACCAGCAAAACCCCTTTGACTTTGGAGGTGTACACTGATGCCTCGTTCGCGGCAGATGAGCAGTGCAGGAGCTTTGGTTCGGTTCAGTTGTTTTGGGGAGGTGCTCTGATTATGTGGACTGCAGCAAGACAGACACTGATCGCTGCGCATACAGCTGAGAGTGAGCTCTATTCTTTGGCAGAGGGTCATCTTATGGGCAAGGCTTTGAGACCTACAGTGGCGGCCCTGATGAACATCGAAGAATGCAATGTGACTGGACGGCTGTACTGCGACAACTCGGCTGCTGTTCAGTTGTGCACGTTGGAAGCGGGCTCGTGGAGGACACGACACCTTCGTTTGAGGGGCACAATTATTAGGCAAAACTTGGTCGATGAAGTGTGGTCCTTGTCTCATCTGGATGGTGTTTACATGCCTGCTGACTTGGGAACGAAGCCTGGGGCCAGCGAGACTGGAGGACTTGATCAAGTTATGCGACTTGTTGAATCCCCATGTTGAGCAGAGTGATCATGCCCCAAGGCCTAGCGTTGCAGTCCTTCGGACAAGTCCCTCAGGGTTCACTTCAACGTTGTTGTCTATGCTGATTCTTGCTCAGGCAGCAGAGTCTAAGGCTTGGCAGTTAAAGTCAGAAGAAGACGTTGGGAAGACTTTGGTGTTGGGATTTGTCTTGGGTTTCGGAATTGGATTTGGCATGTGGGTGGCGAGCAGGGTTTGTGGAGCACTGGATCGATGTGTCAGACGGCAAAGGGGGATGAGTTGTGGACCACGTGTTACCCAGCCGCCACCAGATCCTGAGAGGCCACAAGCAATACCTTCCGAGCCCAGTCAGGTTCCAGACGAATCTCGTCCATCCGATGATCAAAGGGAGAGGGTTGATTCGGAGGAGGTTCTGATACCTTCGATTGGGGGTTCCAGGAGGCTACGTATGATGATATGCGTGAGGCCTACTATGCTGACATCCGTCAGAGATGCTTAGACCCAGTATAGGACACCCAGGTGCATTCCTAGGCTCTCCCCGTGCACCTACTGTGGCGCCTCCGCCCGATCTTGCTATGATGTACATTGATGATGTAGCACCACTTGTATTGCTGGAGCCACATGTGTATCAACTTGATGGAACCGGTGAAGACAATGTGGAAGCTGAGTCCGACAGCTCAGAGGATTGTGAGTCACTGGCGTGGAGCGGTGGAAGCACTACAACTGGGGGAGTAAGGCGTTAGTCCTCAGTACTGGGAGTCAAGGAGGTGGGTTGAGGATGCTGAGTGCCAGTGTTGCTGTTCTTCCTACCGTCGCAAGGGGAGCCGCCCCAGAGGAGAGCGAGGAAAGCCAAGGAGCCTGGGAACTTCGGGTTGTTCTTGGGTTGATAGTAGCAGTTAGCGTGGCGGTTGAGGTTCTTGGAGGACGGTTGTGTTGGAAACCTTCTAGAGAGTCGAGGAGTTGTAACCAGCACAAGGTCGATGATCGGGGGTTGGATGATACCTTTCCAGTGACGCAGACTCCCAAGCAAGACCGAAGCAAAAAGGATCACTTGTCTTCACCAGTGATTAATATCACTGTCACAGGGAGTGTTGCCGAAGCAAGTTGGAGGACATTGGATGCAGCAACGTCTTCTGAGGTTGTCGGTTGCGCAGGTCGTGCTGGACCCAGAGTAAGGAGTCAGGGAGCCTCAGCGAGAGAAACCTTAGGAATAGGACCTGTTGGAACCCGTGTGGAGGACTCAAGCCGAGTAAACCCTAGAGGTTTAGGACCTGTGGGAACCCGTGTGGAGGACTCAAGCCGAGTAAACCCTAGAGGTTTAGGCCTGTGGTAACCCGGGTGGAGGACTCGAGCCGAGTAGACCCTAGAGGTTCAGGACCTGTGGTAACCCGTGTGGAGGACCCGAGCCAAGCAGACCTTAAGGGTTTTGGACCTGTGGTGACCCGTGTGAAGGATCGAATGACCGTAGATGCTGATAGATCAGGAATTCTGGGTTCTAGAAGTGAGAGTCCACCAAAACCCAGCACAGATAGGCTGACGTCTCTGGAACTCAGAGCAATGCGAGTACTTGAGACTGATGTGGAGTACTCTGGTGCAGGAAGCGCAAGTGCAGCAGCAGTGCCAACTACCCAAGGCCCTAGTGAACCAAATCGGTTTGGAGCACTGAGGCAGAGAAGGACCCGCGGTGAGACAGGGGTCAGGAGCGTCAAAGCCTCTGCTGAAGTGAAGGCCGAAACCCAGGTATCCCAAGGCTTGCTATCAGGAGGTTTGGGAGAAGGACATCCTGATGGGAACAGGGATGCTGTGTATCGCAGCGATGGAGGATGCGCAGGACCTGAAAGACAGCAGACAGGGGTCCCATTGGATCGTTTCAGTAGACCATTCTGAGTAGTCGGGGACATGACGTGCAGCCATTTGTTTACCTGACAACAAACGGTTCATTCCTGCACAGTGGGACAGCTTGCAGGGGGATGCAGTTCGCCAGTTCCCCGATCCAACGCAGCCTGTGCAGATTCTGTTTCAAGTCCTCGGGACTTCCGCCAAGGAGAGATGACAAAGGTAAGGATCTCGTCGTTGCCTTTACGAAGTCTGGGCATTATGTGCATGCGACCGAGAGTTGCCAGTGCTTGGATTCTCGAGAGGAGGTGATGTACCGGACCCTCTGCAAATGCTGCAAATGGGGTGTGTGAGAATGGTGGAAGCGGTGTGTTCTCTAAGGGGCATGCGTTTGAATGGACCCACCATTGGGGGAGTGAGCATGCTGTCGAACGCACCACTGGAGATCATGAATGCACGGGAAGCTGGCCTTCATTTGCAGCAGCCGGCCGAGCTCAGGAGACGACAAGGCCTTGTTTGATTCCATCAAAGAGCTCATAGGATCAGAGGTGCCGGTGGAGCAGCAGTGCGGCGACTTTTGTATGAAGCGCACTTCCATGCGTTGGTGGATCTGGAGGCGTGGGCGGGCCTCCCGGACCGGAGAGTCCAGCCCGAGGGAAATGCCTTTAGCCGAGCGCCTCGCCCGTGCCATTTTGGCTAAAGGGTCTAGGGGTACGGGGCTGTACGCCCGGGTAAGTCAGATGCACTACAATTCTGAGGATAGTAGATACTCTAAGTTGTACAGCTCAGGTAGGCATCGTCTTTGATCGTACCGTGGTGTTCGGTGCTCGCAGAAAAAGGTGGTTCGATTGAGTCTCTGATCTTTGCTCTTTCCTGTTCATCACGGATGAACAATTATACCTATTATTCGTCTTGTTCTTCTTATTTTTATTATTGCATTATTCTGATTACCATGATAGTTTTCTTACTGTTATAGTAACGTATCATTGTTATTATCGTTTTGTCATTATTAATCCGTTAGTGTTGCTATTTCTGTTATTAGCATATTATTATTCTTATTATGATTATTATAGTAGTATTGTTATAGGGCTCGTATGATTATTTTATTATCAGCATCATCCTTGCATCATGATTATTACAGTAGTATTTTGTCTTTTCATTTTCCTTATTTCTATTATTACAGTAATATTATTAATATGGTTACCAGTATAGTAGTACTATATTGTAGTATTGTCGTATTCCTGCTTCCACTGAAGGCATGAATTAGATTGTCCCACACGAGGGTCAAAATCAGGAAGGGTGCAAGCTTGCGCATTTCCGTTTGTGGCTTTGGTAGACGCAATTCCATACCAGGTTGCCTTCATACAGGCTTGCAGTGCCGTGGGCTTCCTGCGCCAGTTTGGCATGGCATTGGCATTACGTTTTGTGCATATCATGCTGATTCGCGCTGGTTGGATTTGAAGAGCCAGGCGTGGATGGCATCACGTGGCACAACCTTAGGTTGATGTCGCCTTCTCAGCTCTCAAGTTTCAAAGAGTTGGCAACGTCTTCTAGATTGGATCTGGCCACAGGCTTCCATATGCCCTGTCGTTCGCAGCTGGAGTAGCGGCCCCAGGTAGCCGAAAGTGCACCAACGCGAGTGACAACAACCCAGGTGTACACAAACGGAAGGAGTTTGGAGTATTCGAACGTGAGCAGCCCAGAGCTTGCCAGGCAAAAAACATGAAGATTGCCTGATTCGAAGGTGGAGACTGTGATTGTTTTCCGAGCTTGCACTCCGCTACTGGTGAGTGTGCCTGGAGACCCAGTGTCGCGAGCATGAGTCCAGAGCGCACCCGCAAACTGCAAGGATTGAATGGGCCACACTGGACCGAATGCTGCCATCTTGGAGGTCATCGGACAAGACAAGCTGAGTAGTGTAGCACAGTCGGCCTGTGTCACAAAACCGCCGCTGCAAGGTCATCATTTTCTCTGCTGCTTAGCGGCAGCTTGATGTTTTGCTTTGCACTTGTGCCCTTCATATGTATTCACCTCGCACTAAGACCGCCCCCCCCCAACCCCCCCAAGGATCTGGACCCCAACCTCCGTAATTAGAGCCGTGCTGAAATGGGTATGCTTCTTTCAGAAGGCCGCCAGTCCGGATTGTACGCGTAGTTGAATAGTAGCCTTTAGACAACGCGGCATCATTTTTTGGGGATTCTGCAAAACCAGGAGATTTCTAACTACGTTCTGGGATTGGGGTTTGTAATTACCACAGCTAGGATGGAATACGAGGTTAACATTAGGAGACAAACGACATCCTCCATGCTCCCTTTTCCCTTTTCCTTTCGGCTCTCATAGGCTAGCGATGATGATCAGTGCAGCTGGATACATGCTGGCCGATGGCGAATTCAAATTGCGAGGACTTCGTGCGTACGGTTGGGTGGCTTGCAACCAACATCTGCGCTGGGCGGGGAGGGATTTCATGTCCAAGTCCGGTTAGAAGTTTATTTGATATACGTGTGTGCAGAATACGTCCCCAGTGGTCACTTTGCTCTCACATCTGTTCTTTTGTAGTTATACTTGCGATCACTGAAGTGTTGCATGACTGAATCAGAGCGGCTACGGATGAATGAGTCAATCTTTGCAGCTCTCAAACGGCGCTGACTGGCCCGCCAGTGTGCAACCCGACCTCTGAAGAGCCCCAATGCTTCAGCAATGCTTTGAGTGGTCTTATTTGCGCAGTATGAGTCAGTATGGCTTTGCCATTCCAAAGTTTCGTATATCCAACATCTTCGCGGAGGCTTGAATCAGCAGTGCAGACCAGAGATGCAGCGAGATGGACTAATAAGAAGAATCGGAACCATCATGGTAGTTGCTTGATCTGTGGATACCGGATTAATGAATAGTTGTGTAAGTGTGATGCAGCTGCGCATCGACATCCTGGGATCCGTGTTAGTCTTGTCACGTGTCGCTTGAGGGCTTGTGTGGTCTTGCGTCTGTGAGAGCCTTTGCATTAGTTTGGTGCTAGCTCTGGCTGGTTGTCATGTGTACTGCCAAGCTGTGCAAGGTGACAATATATATGTTGGTCATCACCTACTCGGTGGTGTATGGCAAGGCATTGACATCAAACCTGAATTTCAGCAGCTGCTTGGCTATAAGGGAGCTGAGGGTTCAACGAACTGGTGCGAGTGTACTAAAGGCATTGTCAGAAGTTTGCAAGAGTGACGCTGCAGGTCCCGTGTGGGGGCCCTCGTCAGTGCCTTACAGTACCGGGATCAGGGTGGCTTAATCACGCAGGGAGGTTCCGAGAACACCAACGTACAAAAGCGCGCGTGGGACTTCGTTGCCTGCCCAGGTTGTACACAAACGTCCTCTCCTTTCCATTGATGGCGCTCCTGAGCATCGTAAATGATGAGATGTCGAAGGCATGGGCAGAACATTACGGTCATTCCTGCGTTCTGGTGCAAATTGATGAATGAAGGGCTTGGGCAGTAGTTACACGGTTTTGATGTGAACGTCAGACGTCTTGCTGGATAGGAGGCGCTTGCGCTAGCAAGGGTCATGCCCCGGGTCCGCCCACACTTAACCAGTAGAAACCCCACCCCACCCGCACGCTTTGCCCCATGTCTCAACCAGCCCAGTAAATCAACATTTACAACCCAAATCCTAGCCACCTAACTTTCCGCATGAATCCCAAACCAAAGCCGCCTATAACATTCGCAGCCTTGCCCATAAAGTCATCCTTATCCCAACTGAATTGGGAACTGACGGAAGTCCCCAAAGTCTTCCGAGCCTTGCATTTGCACTGGGCAATGCCGATTACACAGAATGACATATTAACAAGAATGATTGCTTGTACATAGTGTCAGTGAGTCAAGATGCGATCTATGCTCTGAAGACAGTTTTGTAATTTCTTATTTGGTGTGTCGCGTGGTGCATGAGACGTGCTGCAGTTCCTGTTTGTGTGCTGGCAGCTGTAAGTATTGCGTCCGCTGTTGCAGCTCGCCTACTGCAAAACCGTTCATACGCAGCAAAGTCTAGGGCAAGCTGATTTTTCGCAAGCAAAGTCTTGTTTATGTCGAGCTGCTTGAAGCCACCTTTGCATGAGGCTTGAACCACAGCAGCGTGCCCACGGAAACCAAAGTGGTCATGCCAAATCACGGGGACTGCCGTCGCAGATCGTTCCAGTGCCATCTCGACAATCCGAACATGACTCCCGCTGTCCAAACTCATTGACCTTCACATCTCCGAGTATACTTATCATCATCCTGAAAGTAGTAGTGCAACAGCCTCGGCAGATTCAGGCATCGCCTTCCATGTTGTTTTGTGCGGGAGACGGCTGAGTCCTGGTCACGGTCGGAGGTGACCCCTGCTTTTTGATGTGAGGCGGCGCCTCCCTACCCCTTCCCCACGCATTCGAAGCCCCCGGCGAAGCCGGAAAAAAAACGCCTGCAAGATTGCGCTTGCGCTTGCGCCGCAGACGCAGACCCCAGCCCTATGAAGGCCGCCCACTCCCTCGCTCACTCACTCCCTCACTCCCTCGCTCGCTCCGTGCGCCCGCGCGCCTGCCCGCCCTTCCGAGGAGGCAGGCTTAAGTGGAGTCAGGTTTGAATCGCTGGGTGTCCTTGCCTTCGCCTCCCGAGGCTTTTCCCTGACCTGTTCACGGTCTCAGTCTCACCGTCTCGTTGCCTTCGTCTCCTTGCTCGTGACGTTTTTTTCCAGCGATCCCGACTCCGCTGCGACGTCCCTCACTGTCGAGGTCCCCGTGACCGTCGGCCCCATTTTCAGGCCCTTCAGGATCCATCGCCCCGTTCACTCCGGAGCCTCGCGGCTCGCCTTCTTCCACTGCCGCGGGTGGCTCTGCTCCTGCTGGAGCCTCTTCCGCCCTGCAACGCTCTCCGAAGAGGAGAGGCGTGAGGTCGGTAGGCAGATAGGCGGCAACCTTCTGCCGCTTTTTGTCTGGCGAAAGCAGAGGCAAGACGCGTCGTGATGAGAACCCCCTTCCCTTGAAAGTCTACGTGGTCGTGAGGGTTCGCGGTGGGACTGAGTACGATCCCCCTCTCCGGCCCTCTCCTTTTGCGCAGCTTTCAAGAGGTCAAGAAGCTTGTTTTTGCATCCTTGGCACAGTGGCACTTGTCGAGAAACCACTAGGTGGGGTATGGTTCTGTTCCGTAGTCTCCACCCGTCGGTGGATGTTCGTCCCGAAAACCTTAGGTGTGTTCTGCCCTGACAGCCCCAGCACCCTGCCAAGCACCAAACAAAAAGGTCTTGCCGACCCTTGGCTTTCAGGGCGGGAAACTTTCACAAAGCCCCTCGCAAACTTAGTGTGCTCCCCGTAGGACCAAGGTTGCCTACTGTTTTCTTCAAGGAACTCGTGTCAAATTACAAAGAATCCAAGATTACGCAGCCTACGGCTTTTGTGTATCAGACGATTAGGTCCTTGTCATGCTTGGATGCAGCCATTCCAGATGGGGCTTGGGACGAGGTGGACCGCATAGACATGTCGCGAGATTCGCTTGGGGCTTTGGCGGCTGCCTGGCGAATTAGCACGTGAGTGTTCGTCAACTTTCATTCTGGGGTTTCTGCACAGCTCGCTGGATGCTTGTTTTCATTGTAGTTATCACATTTCCGCACAGTTGACCAGTTTCAAGCCAGTTCTCATGGCTACATTTTGCAGCGTTATGTGAGATTGAGACAGTGTTTCCTATGCGAAACTGTAGCACAAACGCTTGCAAACGAATTTTGGTGTTTCCTGTTTCAGACTGGTTTCAGGCCGCAGCATGTGAAGGGATACGTGTTGTGACCCGCATGCTTGATGTCGGATTTGTTGTTATCAAGAAGGCCTGACAATGTGTTTTGGGTGTGGCGTGTTCAGGATCCGGATATGACAGGAAAAATGACCTTTCTAAACTATGTGTCGCTGTTGATGCTCGCACGTTTTGCGTCCCGGCATATAGCATCCCGCCTTCAAGTTGTTCACATTCCAAAACGCCAATTCCGAGGTTGAGGGACTTGAGAATGGAGCTTTTGGGGTTAAAGCTCTCGCTTGGAGCAAAGGGCCATCTAGCAGAGCTGTGGTTCTTCAATAAGGCCCGTAGTTAGAGGAGAATTTGTTTTCATGTTTCATAGTTATCGGGGTCACAAGTCAAACCCCAGAGCTTTCAGGACCGAGAAATCATCATTCAGAAACCGCTACTAGAGATGTCCTGGATTTCAACTTGGGGGAATGGCAGGAATCACGCTAAGTCCCACATTCAGACCGTGCCGGTCGTCTTGTCATGCAGGTATTCTCTTACGACCCAACAAGCAAGGTTGACAGTCTTTTACGCATGTTTCTAGGGGCAGACGTCGCGTCTGTTGCAGCTTGAAAGAGATGCGTTTTTGTTACAGCCTGATCCGCCGGCCATGCCTTGCATGGAAAGTGGAGACTGTCAGCCCGAGATTGCTCAGGCTTCCAGTGCAATAGGCGTCGGAATCAGCTGGAGCGGCTGGCACTGCTGCCTGTATGAATGCTGAATGGGTTTGGTCATGGTTTTGGTAGTGCAAACGCTATTGCCTGCACTCAGCACGAAGGTCAATTTATTGTGTTGGAATGTGTGGGCAGACGTGCAACTGCATGACCCATCAAAAGCAGATCAAGAGGCTCGCAAGACCAAGGCTGATCTGTGTTTTCAATTTGCAGAACTGCCCGAGGTACGAGGGTCCTCACAGCCACCACGTACACAATCCTTGGGGTGCTTTGTAAGTTGGTGAAGCTTGGCGCTGAAAGCTCAACCTCATATATATTCAATATTCGCTTGATGTCGTGTTGCTCCATGTTGCTGCGCATCTGCCGTTCGTGTGCAGTGAACCCGAGGAGCATTACAATCAATGCAGCTGGGACTCGCATTGCTCTTCCTCTGACATGCGATCTGAGATGTGAGCATGCCAAGGTCTTGATTTGGGACAAGCACGCATCTCCACTGGGAATTTTCTGGCTCATTGTTTGCGTTCTGGCTGGGGCGAGCCTAGCTCAGAAATGATCACATGCACATGTGCTTCTTGGGCTCCGGTTTTGCTGCAGATGAGGTTATACCAGCCGGCGCCAATGAAAGAGCAGTTGTCAAGTACAGGGCTTGGTTGCTTTGCTTCCAGTTCACAGTATGCATTGTAAGTGCCAGCCAGATCTCGCATGCGGTAACGCCATGGCAGCCCCTGCAAGTCATGCATCGAATTGAGCCCATGTGCTACAACATCGCCGGTGAGACTCGAATTCCCTCATGTTCAATCTGACATCCAATTTGACATCGCACTGAAAAGGAGTTGATCCCTCGTGATGAAAGCAGCGCAACGGCTTGCTGCAAGAATGGAAGCCATCAACATAATATCGCTGTGCCTCTTATCTTAGGGCTATCATGGAATCGTGTTCGAGCGTTTCTCAGGTGCAGGATGCGATCAACGTGAGCCTTCAGCCGAAAAACATGTTTTCATTGCTTCAGAAGAGCTGCAGCATGTTCCCAGTGATTCCCATCTTGGAGAGCCTTCAGAGGAGCTAGTTTCAAAGGTTTCTGTGTAGCTCGTTCTTGTATTGCGAAGCTTCTGAGATCCGGGTTTGCTAGGGAGACTTCGATGCCGTGCAGCCAAGTCGCGAGAACTAGTGGAATTTTGCATTTCTGCAACTAGTGGTTTCACCCAGCATGCCATCCAAAATCTGTGGCGAGGAAAACAGCTGTACCGGCAACATCCTGCCAGCTGTGAAGGATAGCAGCAAGATGCAATGCTTGGGTTGAACATATCAGCGACAACAGCCTACAGAAGTGAATCCCAGTTTGCCATGATGCTGTGCATGAAATTCCAAATATCTCACACAGCCCTTGTAAACTCTTTCTTTTCAATGGGCTTACAAAGCTTGGGCCGAATCCTCAATCCAAAGCTCAACAATTTCGCATGCTGAAATCCTGAATTTCTGGGTGGGTTGGTTCTCTGGGGGCAGGGGGGGGCAGGGGAAGGGGGCCAATCCGGGCCTTGCCCCTAATTGAAGCGCCAGTTCCAACACCAATACAGGCCAGTACATTTCTCACTTGGCCGGCGAACTCTGCGCTCTCTTTTTTCTCCGGCGGTTGAAAAGCTCATTGCTGCATTGCTGAAAGGGTCGTATTGATCGCCTCCTGCTTCTTATTGTGGCCCGTTATCAAGACTGTTGCCTCACGAACTGGACGTAGCAGCACGCCCTGCATTCGCACCAATATATTTAGTGTTGCTCTGATTTCCCCCCTTCCTTTTGGTGAAGAGAGTGATGGCTGTGAGCTGCATCGCAGACCAGCGCATCTTCCAAGTCAATGTCTGCCTGGAGGTCGTGCAAACAAAGACTAAGAAGTATTTTCGACCACGAGGGCCGCACGTTTGATCCCCAGCAGTAATTACCTTCGGATGTCTTGGTACTTGAGAGAAAAATCAGCTTTTACGGATTGTCCTTCGAGTCGTCACAGCACCGTGTCCTGTTGTACCTTCCCATGATTCAGATGGACTCCGTCATGGCTGACGAGGCCTCCCGCAGTTTGCGCCACAGCTGTCACTCTGTTGGACGTTGTCAATTTGTGCAGTTCTTTTGTGTGGGTTCTCGCGAAGGGCTTCTTGGAGCAGGGCAATAAGTGTGCTCTTGGTGGTGTCGTTTCCTTTTCCCTCCTCGAGGGCTGCCAGTCCTGCCACTATCGCGATCGTGAAGGTGTCCACCTGTCGCCCAGCGAAGTGCTATTTGCAGACTTCTTGGCAGTGCTCAAAAGCTCCGGTAATTCAGGATGTCCTCCTGGAGCTGCGGAGGTTCGTTCCCCCCGAACTCACAGTAGGCAACTTCGCAGAAGTGGGCAAACTGCACTACACCCTTGTCCCTGCAGATGGCAGTGGCGCATGTGGCAAAGCAAGCCTGGTTTTGAATGGACGCCTCTGAAAGAAGAGAAAGAGGCAGGAGGGACCTCTCTCTCACGACGAGGGCAAGAAGGCTAGGCCTTTTTGAGCACTCACGGCTTGAGCCAAAATTGCTACATATGTATGCAGAAGACATCGAAGCTTCGCTTCGCGGAACAACATCGAGCCACCACTTTGCTTCTAAAGCAAAAGACATTTACACGTTTGGTCAGCGCGACGTGTAGCACTCTGTCTCTGTCTCTGGCTCTCTCTCTCTCTCTGTCTCTCGCTCTCTAGCCCCTGGACAGAATACAGCGGCCTATGCGATGCAGCCAGATAAACAAAACAGATCAATACCGCAAGCGCATGTCACATTGTCACATCATGTTCTGCCTCCATCCAGCAGATCGACCAGTCACGCAGAAACGACGGTCCGTAAAGCAAAACTCGAAGCTGTTCAGAGGATTCAAAATCAAAAAGTCAGGTCGAGAAGAGGCAAATCATCGGACACACAATAAGCACCTACTTACAACAACCCCTTTGGAAAGGATGTTTTCCACTTACAGAACAGAGGCTTACACGTTTTTCGCACAGTTGTCACGGACGCTCTATAGGTCTTTTCTCAAAGGGACAACAAAAGGCTATAAAGGCTATTAAGCCAACCACAAAGCCCGAGCATGTCATGGAGGCGCTCCCGTGCTGTCATCCGACTCTGGCAACCTTCTTGATGTTTCCGTGTTGTTCAGTTCTGTTTCTACATTGAAAGTTTGTCCCGAATGCGCACCAGAAGGGCTCTTGTTTAGAGGTTGGGGGTCTGGGGTCAGGGGGTTGACGCGAAAACCGTGCCAAGCGCCCGCAAGCGTCCGCAAAGCGTCCGAAGAGTAAAGGAGTGGCCACGAAGGGGGGAGGGGGGGAGGGGAGGCAAATCGTACGTTAGTCCTTTAGGGTCTCCACCTCTGTTTGCCGCTGATGTTAAGGACATTTGCAAGGCGCAATCGCATTCGGGTTGGTGGGCCCTATCAGGTTTTGTTGTTGCCTCTTTTTTCTCGAAGAACTGGCATGGCAAGTTGAGAAGTGTTCAAACGCGACTCGTGTGTGTGTGTGTGTGCTGTGCTTCTGTTTCAAGAAGTTCTCCGAGCACGAGTTAGACCAAAGCCAGAAAGGCAAGAAGAGAGTAGTGTCCTGGTGTCCTCCGAGCAATGCATGTGCGGCTGCACTGCAGGCCGCTGCTTGCGGTGACGCTGTTAGCACTTTCTGGAATGCTCGTCACTCATCTGGCAAGCGTGCCGCCGGAGAGCCCTAGCCCTTTAAGGAGCCCTTGGACGTCCGTAATGGTTCCTGTTATTTGCAATGATACGAACACTTCGACAGCTGTCGTTCGAAGGACGACAGCCTCGGAGCTTTCAGGCGCAGTTGATGCTTTCTCGACTGGTTATCGACGATATTTTGTTGGATTGTGCAACCGGAGCTACACCATTCCAGATCTCTACGAGGTGTTTGCAGCTCATTCAGTTGAGTGGGCGATCTTGGGGAAGACTCAAGCTTGGTGGAGTGTCATTTCGGTGAAAGAGTTGGAAGGACAAAGGGACCTTCCGAAAGAGCAAAAGCAGCGCTTCTACGCAAGCGGGATCGATCACCGCGATCTGATCCTTCGAGACATAGAAGTGAACGGGACCAGGCCATTGGACAAGACTTCTTCAGTGTTGGACTTTGGTTGCGGGGTTGGGCGCTTGGGAATGGCCTTCGCCAGAAAGTTTGCCGAGGTGACTTGTGTGGATCAAAGTGTTTTTCATTTGCAGATCGCAAAGTTGGAGTGGCAGAATCAGAAGCAGGCCAACCCGGAAAGTCACCTTTCTTATGGGCAGCTTGATGTCAAAGTCTCCGGGCCTGATTTGCTTGCTGCAGTGGCTGGACGGAGATTTGATTTCGTGTATTCGATGATTGTACTACAACATATGGTTCCTCCTCTCCAAACTGTTTATTTGGAACAACTCTGCGACATATTGAAACCGGGAGGACAAGGATGGGTACATATTCCCACAATGATTCCAGAAGGTGAGTCCGTGAGCCCCTGTGACCTGCATCTATCAATGACGAGAGGAGGAATTCAAATGCATTATACGCCGAAGACCTTTTTGGAAGATATTTTCAGAAAAAGAGGCTGCTATGTCACAGTGGAAGAGAGAGGCAGTCTTTTGATCAATCCGGGCTACACAGCCGGCATCATCTTGTTCAACAAGCCACGCGTCTAGCACAAGACGTCTTTCACCGATTGCTCATTTGAATTGGGCAAGCTTGATCTGGAGTGTGGCGCAAAAGGATTGGCGCGCTGATTGAACCATGTTTGTGGGTTTTGATGAGTGGCGCCTTTTGTATGTTGGAGCAAGATCTTGTTTGGTTTTTAAAGAAGCATTCTTTGGATTTATTGCCTTGCTTGCTTTGGTTTTGGCCTTGCTTTGGTTTTGGCAAGAACCTAGACACCCAGCCCCTTTCCCTTGAAACCTCCTCTCGCTTGGAATGGAGAGGATCGGCTTTAACCGCAGCGTCTCGACCCAGGTCCTATTGACTTGGGTCCCTGGGCTTGCAACGAGCACCACATCTTCCAGTTCAGGGTTCAGGGCTAAGGGGTAGAGGGTTCACTTGTGACTTCTATTTTGTTTCACTTTTGACTTCTATTCTGTCTCACTTGTGACTTCTCAGTTTGGGGCCTTCCAAAACCCTGCATTTCCATGGGTTTTGGACGTGTATATATATATATATATATGTATACATTATGTATGTATGTATATATTGTATGTGTATATATATATATATATATGGTCAGCCCCCCCCCCATGATCTACCTCCGTCTTTCTTGGGTATGTAAAACACATTGAAACCACCGTAAATACCGATGACTTTGCTGTTTTCAGAAACTCACAAATCCACCCAAAACTGTGTCACAAAATCGGTGGTTCGGAGCATAGCGAGACAA